AGCCGCCAGAGCCCCTCGCCGGAGAAGACAGCCCAGCCACCGGGGAGCCGACTACTGCCACTCGCCGCCGTACCGGAGCAATTTTCGACCGCCATACAAGGTAAAAATTCTACTCTTTACTCAGAATTTGATTTCAAACCCACCCACGGCCAAATTAGAGTGAAATAACCGGCCAATTGTCTGGAAAACGCCGTTGAAGCTCAGCGGCACCGCCGCGGGGTGTTTTGATTTTTGCCTCCAATGAGGCCCTTTCTGATTCCCGTTCGATGTGATTTTTTTACCGTTGGGACCACCGTTTCCTCCGCTACAGGTTGACTGAAGCAAAACACCCAACCGCAACGTGAATCGGAGGAGCCGCCACATCGAAGAGCCCCACCGTCGGTGAGTTTTGGTTTTCTGTATTTTTTCGATCCACCGAGGGCCCTAAGTGTGTTTTCTCATAAGAGCCGGTGCAAATTCGGCTGAATTAGGCCGAAAACGACTGAAAACAACCAACCCGAGGTGGATCGCGGTAACCATCTAGTTTTCGGTGTCGAATCAAGTAAAGACCCCTCACCCTATTTTCTATCATAGATGTGAAGTTTGAATAAATAATAATACGATCTTTTGTATAACTTAGATAGATATGCATAATTAATTTCGATTTTTTAATGGAGCTCGGAATCAAACATTGTTCTCTGTTGTTTCCTGTTGATTTACTTGACAGTTTAAAGGTATGATGGTGTCTGGTTTAGAGTTTTAAATGCATGTATTTCTGTATTACTTGACCACTGTGTGATTTTGGGATTTAAGATATGATTGTATTACCGGGTACATATTCATTGTTTATGTGATTGTGTTTAAATTTGGTAACGAAGATTAAGGATAAACAAGAAAGGGATGTGATCTAATAAACGGATAAGATGACAGCCTCACTAGATATCCTAGGAGATGGTGGACAGACCGAGTTCATAGGGAACCCTACGTGAATGTTGTCTCATACCGAACGGGGTATAGAGACTTGGTCATTTGGCGCTCATACTGGACGGGGTATGGGGACGACCCACTTCACCCTCGTACCGGACGGGGTATTGAAGTTTAATGTCTTAGCACTCATACCGGACGAGGTATGGGGACGGCCCTGGAATTAAGATTGTTAAGGAGAATAGTTCATGTGTAGCGGGGACACCCCTATGGATCCCCATGAATACTAGTAGGCTGGTAAAAACGAAAAACGGTGATAATTAATTATTGTTAATAAATACGAATTTATGATATATTTTATGTTACTGATTATGCATGAAATTGTGATTTGTATGATATTACTGCACTGTAATTTGTTTCCATAAATTCCCTTATTGTAAGAAAAAAAGGGTAAATGGTTTTATTTTAATTAAATGTATTGGTTTAAATCTACTGCTCCATTGGTTGTTTTGATTTTCTACCAACCTTTACTTCTATGACGGTGATATAGTGTGATGTCCTTACTGGGGTAGTGTAGTTCATTCCTTATTTAACCATTTCAGATCAGGAGAACCTGGTTCCCGAGCCCGATCCACAAGAAAACTGCGAGTAGATGCTAGATGCTTTATAGTTTTCTTTATTTTTCTCATTTCTCGTATTTCTTTCAGAGAACTTATTCTGTGATGTTGTTTAGTACTTTGAAGTTATTGTGTAAGGGATGTTAACCTTATTCTTTTATTTCGCTTCCACATTCAAATTATTATATGTATTTTCTTTTGAATTTTCGGGCCCGTTACAGTTGGTATCATAGTCGCGTTCCTCGGATCCGTCCCTTACACAATAATACTTAGAGAAACACCAAACCAATGAATCATCACTCAACCCTTCCTTGTGAAATGCAGGTACAGAGAGATGAGAAGAGGAAGACCCCCACTAAACCGAGCAGCCCGGGATGGTTTGCTTCGGGAAGACGTTGACAAGATATTTGAGATGCTGGACATTGCTACCCAGCAAGGTCGAGAGGAGATGAGGGAGCTACCTGACCCTCCCTCGCTGCCACAGGTTGAGCCACCACTGCAGCGAGAGGATCCCAAACCACCCTGATATGACCCTGCTCCTCCACAGTACCACCCGGCACCACCGCAATATAATCCGGTGTCCCAACCACAGTACTGCCCGGCATCGCCACAGTATAATCCAGTGCCCCTACCGTATCAGCAAGTACCACCACAGGGCCCCCTAATCTATCATCAGCCTGGCCCAGTCCCTCTTCCATGGGACCCAGTTCCTCCCACGATTGACCTAGGCTACATAGAGAGGTATAGGAGACTGAACTCATCTACTTTTGCAGGGAAATCCTCTTTTGAAGATGTCCAGTACTGGTTAGCGGAGACGGAGAAGGCCTTCAAGACCCTAGGGGTGACTTCGGAGCAGAGGGTCACCCTTGCTACCTACATGCTAGTGGGAGAAGCAGACCGTTGGTGGGAACTCAAGCAGACCACCCTGCTTGTTCCAGTTACTTGGGAACAGTTCTTAGTAGCCTTTCATGCAGAGTACCTCCTAGAGCACATCCGACATCTGAAGGAGATGGAGTTTGTCCAGTTGGTCCAAGAGAACATGACTGTGTTAGAATATGCTCGTAAGTTCCTGGATTTGGGCCGATACTCCCCTGAGACGTTGTCGGATGAGGGCAGGAAGTTAGGAGGTTCCAGCGGGGCCTCTACCCAGAGATTAAATAGCATTTATTTGTACTGGAGCTCGGGACTTATTCGGCCGTTCTAGCCAAAGCACAGTTAGTGGATAGGAGCCTCCACACCCTCCCTCAATCAGCAGGGAACCACAGACCCTCAGCTCCACTCCGCAGACCAGCACCTACAACGCCTGTCCAACAGAATAAGAGGCCCAGACTGGTGATCCAGGCTCCCTCTCAGGCTCCAGTGGCAGGACGTAGTAAGATCTATCAGCATTGCGGCAGGGATCACGGGGACTGACCATGCTACCGCCTTAACAACACCTGTCGCATATGTGGTAGTGCCCAACACTATGCGAGAGAGTGCCCTAGGAACCAGAATCAAGGCAGACCTCCTATCCAGGGCAGGACTTACAACCTTATCCAACAGGATGCCGAAGCCGACCCGGACGTGGTACATGGTATGTCTACTATCTGTAACCATCTTGCTCATGTTTTGATTGACACTGGTGCATCGTATTCATTTGTTTCACCTGTTTTTGCATTCAAATTTAATGTATTACCTGATATACTTGAGTCTATGCTATTTGTGTCAACTGCTGGGAGTATGACACTAGTGAGAGAAGTTTTCTACAGGGCTTGTGTCGTAGAGATAACAGATAGAAAATTGAGTGTGGACCTAATAGAATTAGACACGGGGATTTCGATGTAATTTTAGGAATGAATTGGCTAGCGGCGTATCACGCCACCGTAGATTGTTTTAGCAAGAAGGTTGTATTCAATCCTCCTAATGAGGAGCCATTTATAAATTAATAAAATCATTTAGTACTTATTCCTTGATGGCAAGTTTTCTTATTCGTCGAGTATTTTAACCTTACTGTTTTTCTAACTAGGCAAACTCAAGAAAGAGAATTGTATTCAAGAGATTCCGGTAATCCGAAACTTTTCAGATATGTTTTCGGACGAACTACTCGGATTACTAGTGGACAGGGAAGTCGAGTTCACCATAGATCTACAGTCAGACACCCAGCCTATTTCAGTGGCTCCTTACCGCAT